GGACATTCATCACGTCAGCAACAGGGACAGCAGACACACTTATCCGCCTCCGTCGCTCGCTGCGCCTCCTCCTCGCGCGCACGCTCAGCCTCCTCGCTGATGCGTAGGAACACCTGCTCGATCGACGTCTGCGACACGTGGTAGTCCGTCAACCCAAGCGAACGAAAGTGATTCTCAAGCAGATCAAACGCCACTGAGAGCCTCGTGTCTCTTGGCAGAGAATAAATCATGCGATCCGCGCGATGCTCCACCAACAGTGATCCATGGAAGTATTCTTCAAAAAACAGCTCAACCGCCGCAACTGTCGCCGCGTCGCGGCGACCAAGGCGCAACTTGAGCAGAGAAACCTGATTCAAGGCACAGAATCCGGCTGCCTCACAAGACACGCCGCGATGACGGAAAACCATATGCACACCCCAGCAACAACTAAGGCCGCATGAAAACAAGCACAATGTAGTATGAGAAGACTTGTCACGCAAATTCAAAAGATACAAATTCAACGTAGCGGCTCGTGCCGCGCACGCGTGGGCTTCGACAGTGGCACATCTTTCGTGTAGATGCAGTGGGAGACACCAAACTTGGCACCGTCGCTATTCCTGTCGCCGACAGGAATAGTGACTCTACCATTTAAGACTGAGAACCATAACAATTTCCTTGCGGTGCTCTTGCTCCTCGGTTTAAACAGGCCGAGGAGGAGGCAGTGCAAGCAACACACATCCATGCATCCATAACAGAGAAAAGCACACTTGAAGAAAACAGAAACTCGAGCCCAGGTGAAAGCCTTATCGGGACGGGGAAGGGCCAGGGTAGCGTGGTGTGTGCCGCAGACAGGCAGAGGCCACAACCTGCAAACTTGTTACTTGCAACCATCGTCCGGTACCGTCACAGGTCGCACCTCGCGCCTGTTGCCGCCCCGCTGTGACGAAGTTTGGCCACCGCGAAGTAGTCGATCACGTTCACGTTGCAGGTACTCTAAACGGTTTTGTCGAACCCCGCTCGTCCGCTCCCCGCTCCTGCCTTCATGGGCTGCATCCTCAATCACACGCTCCAGGTCCTCCAACACGGCGGTGGACATCACGTGGTAGTCGTGTCGCTCCATCCAAGCAAGGAACTGCCAGAGGGTCGAGCGAGGGAGCAAAAGAGGGTGCTGCTGCGGCCCCTTGGACTCGTTTTTCCGCCACAATGGCCCCAGCTCCTCGCAAGCTGGCGCGCAAAGCAACGACAAGAAGCGCGTGCACGGACTCTGGGGCAGGCTGGTAGCCCTCATCCACAGCGGTTTGCAAAACACCCAATGCGCGTTGAAGACGCGTGGCTGGCGTGCATCCAGCAGCCCGTGTATTTTGACGGCCCCCCTGCTGTCCACCAATATCGTACTGTGTCTGATGCACGCTGCGTAACACTGCCCGTAGGTGGTGCTCGCGCCAGGTATTGAGGCGAATAGCCGCGGCCAGCATGTCCCTCCACTCTTGTTCGTCGGGGGTTGTAATAAGTGTGTATAGGAACCGCCTTGTGGCGTCCTGGCGGGGTGCGTCTTGTTCGCCATAAGGACGATACACGTGGATAGCCATGTCCCCGTCCATGTCCAGAGCATCCGGCAGCTCCACAGTGGAGGGTGGCGCGAAAGACAGGTTCGGCCCCCCATCCTTCGGATGGTGGCAACAGCCACGACACGCACACAGCAGTGCAGCGCCCAGTTTGAGCACGCACCACGAAGTACAGGCACGAGTGCCCAACCTCCGAGGCACCACAGGCCACATCCTACACGCAAGTCTAGCGCCACGCACTAGCAACAGCACAAACCAACGGGACAAAAGATCAATACAAAGCGATAAAGGCGTGCCTGGACCATGACGCAGAGGCCCACACAATACATCCAACTTCACGTAGCGTGGTCCCTTGAAAGCAGGGTAGCACAGCCGCAAAAGAAAAAAAGGAGGCACTCAGGGCATTTTGTTGTATTCGTCCGCATGGCGACATTATTAAATGGCCTTCTAACCGCCAGTTGTGGTGCGAGGAAGAGGGAGGAGGGCGCGACGACAACGCCGACATTCAGACCCACCGCCGATGGTGTCAGCGAATGGAGACGGAAAAAAAAAAGTGCAGTGCCGCGCGTTAGGGAAGAGCAGAAGCGACAAAGGGAAAAATATGATATATACGTTTAGAAAAACATAGAACACAAAGCAGTGGCGGTTTTTCACGCGATTCCTGAACTGAAGAGGGAAAACAGCGGAGAGACAGGGAGGAAAGGAGGGATGGGACAGTAGAAATTCGTCGACAACTAAATATGGCACAAAGAAACAAAAACGAGAGAAGCTACTTTTCCACTGTCTACTTGCCCCACTCACGGCAAAACAGAGAGTACTGGAAACAATCCTCTGCCACCACGCACATACACATATACTTGCATACACGAATTCAAGAAGGGAGACACAGTCGGGACCCCACATTCAGGCACAACATACCCTGGGGGCATACCGGGGCATCGATACACAAAGAGAACTCCACGGAGACTTCGCTAGTCGCACCCCCACCTGTATTCGATTCTTCCCGGAGGCACAAAAACGCGGCCAACAAGAGCCCCATTGCCCCACAATCAAAAAAAAAAACATAGCAAACGGGTTATTGCATCATTCCGCAGGCACATCACCAACCACCACAAACCAGAGAAGTTCAGGAAGAATATTCTACAGTCTCGTCGTGCAACTATGTGCACGTACGCAGCGTCCCAAGAAGCGTCGCCGCGTGTGTTGGCAGCTCGCCGCACACTACAAGTCGCACTGAGTTTCGCCACTCACGCGCAGGAACACCTGCTCAATCGAGGTCTGCGATACACTGTAGTCCGTGATACCCAAAACATCCTTGTTCTCCTGTAAAATGCGGAAGGCGCTGCTAAGAGACGTGTCACTCGGTAACGCGTACACAAACCGTCGCCCCTTGAATTCATTCAGTGTAGCGTTGGGGAACATCTCGTTCACAAACTCCAAAATTGACTCATAGAGGTCCTCATCCTCAATGCGAATGTTCATCTCGTAGCCGCTGCCAAACTTGTGCTTCAGGTGCGTCTTGTCACCGATACAGCGCAGCGCTCCGTCCACCATAATGGCCACCACATCCGCTAAAGCCTCCACCTCCTCTAGATGGTGCGTCGTCAGAACAACGGAGCAGTACTTCGCTGTTGTTTCAATCGTTGTCCAAAGTCCACGACGTGCGACGGGGTCCATGCCTGCCGAGGGCTCGTCGAAGAACACCACGCGCGGCCCTCCCAACAACGCAGTCGCCACACTCAGTTTACGCCGGTTGCCACCACTCAGTTCGTGCGCAAGTGTATTCCGATACTTCATCAACTCGCACAGGCGCAGCAGCCCGAGGACGACTTCGTCGCGTTGGCTCCACGCGATGCCACGCAGGCCCGCGTACAGCCGCAGGTGCTCCTCCACCGTCAGCAAATCCAGGCAGGCGTCAAACTGTGGGCAGTAGCCGATGCACTGCAGGGCCTTGGCGCTCTCCTCCACAACATCATACCCGCAGACGGAGGCGGAGCCGCCCGTGGGGAGAAACTCTTGACATAGAATCGAAATGGTTGTCGTCTTCCCCGCACCATTTGTGCCAAGAAAGCCAAACACTTCTCCGGGAAGAATGTCAAACGTGAGATTCCGCACCGCGACTTTGCCGTTGGGATACTCTTTGCGTAGATCACACACTGTCACAACTCCCTCCACGACGCCTCTTTCCATTGAATCGTAGACGGCATTCCGCTCGTCCTCAACGTCAGTATCCTCGTTATAAATATCCTCGGTGTTATACTTGCCGCGCCGGTAGAAGAATCGTTCCCACCATGTACGTCGCTTCGGATGGTCAATCAAGATCAGCAGCAGCCAAAAAACGGGAAGCTCCACTGAAAGAAAGGCAATAGGGTAGCCAGTGATATCGCCATCAAATGCCGATGTCGCCAAGCCCACCGCTTTCTTCTGCTTGTAGTTGTTGAGGTTGATGATGCCTTCGCCGATACAGTACGTTGGGATAAGTCGGAAGGGCCAGCGGAGATCATCCGAGACGTGCTTTGTTTTCTCCAGAAGTGAGAGAATAAACACGACCATCAGTAACAGAAATCCCAAGACAAAACCTACCCCCATCACGACCATCTGCGCCGTTGAGTGCTCATTGAAGAGGAAACTAACGGTGTACCCAGCAACCGTGCTTGTAAGGCCGTAGATCAAGAAGAGGGTGAACATAGCACCGAACGTTTCTGACCCAACGTATGAGTCGCGGCGGAACGCCAAGAAAATTATGACGACAAAAACGAGGGACACAAAGTAGGCAGCTACGTCAAATAGATAGTTTGATAGCCAGTACAGCGCGAAACGCAGACCTGCGATCCTCTGCAAGTGCAAGGCGCCACACTCCCGCTCCTTCACGACCCACGCAACTGGATTCGACGGTAAAAACGTAAACGGAATCATAATGATCGTTCCTGTTAGAATTACCTCCAGAGCGCTTCGGTAATCAACATCGTCCCAGAGAGTACCAATGGACCATGAGATGTTGCCCATTCCTCCAGTAATGTTATGAAGCAGGAGTTGGTAAAACGCCGCCATGGTAATGCCTGTTTGGTGGATGGCCGAAGTGTTGTGTAGCATAATGATGGGATTCATTGTGCCCCGCTTGCGGTAAAGGTCACGATCAAGGCAAGAGACGCTGGCGTATCGCGGCATCTCGTGGGTGAACCACGTATCGGACGTGTAGGAGCCGAGCTCTTCCGCGTTCGCAAAGTGGGTCTCATTTATTACGACATTCGACAGTCGAGGCTGACTCCCCCAGAAGTCTTGGCACTGAGCCGTGTCCACCAGTATCGGTTCGTCGTAGAGGTCAAACGACAATGTGAGTTTTTCGTGCATCTTGAAATTCACCATGCCAAGAAGCATGGCCAGCAGCACACAGAGGAATGGGCAAACGAGTTGAAAGCACTGCATCCGTCTGTCACGAAGAGCATTTTGAAGGCGTTTCCGCATCACAACACGAAACTGCGACATCACTGGAGAACTGGTTACGTCATAGTTCCACAAGTACGAATAGTTCTCGCCACACGCAGACTCCTCCCCCTCCCGCTGTGACACACGAAGAAAGACATCCTCAAGAGTTGTTGCCGAGATCGAATATCCACGCACGCCATAGTCGGCGTGATCCTCGATGCTGTCCAACAGACTAGGAAAATTGGTGGCCTCGCTCGCCGGCAAACGGTACGACAACTGACAGCCACTACGAGAAAGAAGCTCTGCTCCCTCAATAGCTTCTTCTACAAGCTCATCGATGAGCTCCAAATCCCCATCAGGGTGCACCGCCAAAGTAAGACTGTAGCCCAGACCCAACCTAGACTTTAGAAACAAACTACTGCCAGAGCACTGCAGAGAACCGTTGCTCAAGATACCAATACGGTGTCCTAGCAGATCCGCCTCGTCCATGTAATGCGTCGTCAGCAGAACGGTGTGTGAGGAAGACATTCGCTTCAGCAGCTCCCACGTGTAGCGGCGGGCACCAACATCCATACCGGCGGTCGGCTCGTCAAGGAACACAAGGCGACTCCGACCCACAAATGCAACAGCCACTGAAAGCTTCCGCTTCTGCCCACCTGAGAGCCGGCTGGCAGGAAAATCAACTTTTTCCTGCAGATCTGTCTCATTCAACATCCGTTGCACTGCCTCCTCCAGCTCGGCACCTTTCAAGCCTTTGATTTGGGCAAAAAACTCAAGATGCTCGCGGCACGTCAGCTCCGGCCACAGAATATTGTGCTGCGGGCAGAA